GGTCCGAGGGTCGCGAGTTGCGCCTGGATGGGCGCGAGGGTCGCGAGTTGCGCCTGGATGGGCGCAAGGAGGGAGGTGAGGAGGGTGTGTAGATCCCCCTGGGGCTGATGGCCCTGGTCCGCCGGCACGGGTGTGGAGCCCGATGCCGTGGTCATCGTCGTGTCGACGGCGTGTGACGCACCGTCGGCCATGGGGAGATGACGGACCGGACTGGAGGGGGTCAGAAGAGGTCCACGTGAGCGGAGGGCGTAGGGGGAAGTCCGCGGTAGAAAGCGGCGAACGGCGCTAGCAAAGCTAGCACTGGCGCCGTCAAAGGGGGAGGGGTGGTTCGGGTCCAGGGTGCCCGAAGAGGACGGGGAAGTAGGGGGGGAGTTTTGAGGAACCCTAGACCCTACAAAACCCCTAAGAAAACCCTAACCGAGGTTTAGGGCTAGGGTAGGGTATCGGTGACCTAATCAATAAAGTAAAATAGCAAGCATAGAGGGGGGGGGGGAGACGGGAGAAAAATAAATGAACAGCGAGATTTCAAGAGGAATTAAAATAAATAAGAAAATAAATAAATAATAAATAATAAAAATAATTAAAGAAAAAAGTAAAAAAATGTGAAGAGAAACAATATTTTCTTTTTTGAAATTTTCAGCAGCATTTTCCTACCCCCACGGGGTCAAGAATGTGCCAAGGGAAAATGAGAGACCGAGGTGTGCACACTAGAGATGCCGCAAATAAATAAATAAAAAAGAAAATTCAGAAAATAAATAATAAATAATAAATAAATAAATAAGTAAATAAGTGTGTGAGGAGGTGGGGAGAAATGGGTTATCTGATTTTTTTAAAATTTTGGCAGCATTTCGTTTACCCCATGGGGTCGAAGTGTGCCGAAAAGACTAAGTTAGAGAAAATCAGAAAATTTCGGCAACACTTTGTTAACCCCACGGGGTCAAAACGTGTGTCGAAAGCAAGAAAAGGCTAACACCTAATCAGATTTAGGGTTGCCACCAAGAATTTTCAGAATAAGTAAAAAAAAAAAAAAAAAAAAAAAAAAAGAGGGTGGGGAAGAAGATGAGAAAACTAACAACTAATCAGATTTAGGGTTGCCGTAGAGAAAATTGTTATTTTCAGAATAAATAAAAAAATAAATTAAATAAATCAGAAAATGAGAAAAGAAGGTGGAAAAGAAGATATTTCAAATTTTTGAAAAAAGAGAAAATATAAATCAAAAGAGAGGTGGAAAGAAGAAAAATAGAGAAATTTTCGAAGTAGGGGGGAAGGGGAATGAAAAGTGAGGGAGAAAAGAAAGAAATAGGTGGGGGGAGAGAAAAAGATGAAGTGGGAGGTAGGGGGATGGGGTGGTGGTAGTTGGGGGAGAGGAGGGATGGGGAAAGGTGGACAGGGATCAAGAAGCAAAGAGAAAAGGAGGA